GTTCCTTTCAATCCGGGCTAGTCTATGATTCTATGAAACCATCATCACAAATTTCTGGCGACCACTGAGCCAAATGGAGAGACCTTAAGGAGCCCCCCAAGTAACCAAGCATCTGCCACCCCACACAAACCTCAAACCAATGGGAACAGAAGAAAGAAAACCCCCACATTAGGACAGATTTGCTTTCACAGGGCAGTACCTGTCCTTTAACAGGAACTCCCAAGAAAAATCTGGAAAAAAAAAAAATCAAGCCCTTCATATAAACACACTACTCGTTTCTATCATGATAAAGACAGAAATAAACTGTCCACATTTCCACTTTTCATAATGGAGAGGAGAATTAAGAGCTAACACACAGGCAAATTCAATTCTTCAGAACAGAACAACCCATCATTTTTTAAGATAGCTCACAAGCAGCACACTTCATAGTTTCCTTAAAGAATTTCTTGTTACACCTACGTAGGCTCAGCAGAAAGACAAGAGCTCAAAAAACCTTAACTCTGCCCACAAGGACTTCTATTACCAACTAAAGGAAGTCAACTTACGCTGGAGAAGCTCCACTTTCTTATGTACTCAAGATAAGTAATGGATGCTAGGTTAGCAGACTATTCAAAACGACCTAAAACACTTCAGAAACTCGAAAGAGTTAAGGAGTATTCAGCATCTTGCTATTAAGCAAGAGAACTTTTAAACACACATACCAACATTCGATGGTCTCAGGCCATTCACAGCTGCACCAGGAACTTCCTACTGCACATGCTGTCAGCACTGTCCACTGCAATAAACCTTTGTACTCTGAAATGAAGCAATACTGTAGCTGGTGCTCTTTGATATGTTCCTGTAGGCCTGTCCCCTAGAAGCTAATTTAACCTAACACACTAACATAATGTATTTATTGGCTTACAAGTGGGTTTGGTTGCTGTAACTCTTTTATCATCCAGAGCAAACTAATCAGTTTAAACCAAGTACATGTCAATTTACTGGTGTCCTTGCAGAAGTCATCCATGGATGTAACATTAATACAGAACAACCACCTCACACGTGCCTGTGCTGGCTGGTAAAGCACAAGCCAAGAAAGAGCAAAGGAAACAACAGCTAACCTAAAAGCCCTGCTTATTACACAGACCCTCCGCACCCAGCACTCATTCCTGGAACTCCCTTGAACTTCTCCGTAGAATCCTGTGGCTTGACAGATATTTCCCGTCTATTCTTTAGAGAACAGAAACCACTGAGATGAAGTGGTGGTGGTGAGTTCCTCATTCTAAGTTTTCCAAGAAGGAACCGAAAGAATTGTTGGCGCATAAACTCCTAACAAAAAACTGTATGGAACAATGCTCTCTCTGGGGCATACTTCCAGTTCTCTCTCCTCCTCTCGCTACAACCATTTAATCTCCCACAAACTCAAAATCTGCTCTTTGACTCTATCATGACATTTTCCATGGGCTAACTTGACAAGCGCAGGGCTCTCCAGAAGCACTTCCCAGTTCAGAACGCCCAGCTGGCACACCTCTGACTTCTTCAGAACGTCCCAAGTGCCCCTGCAGCACGTGGCTTAGGCCAGCCAGCATCCCCAGCCAACGCTGTCACAATTGGTCACAAATTGTCCATGTGTCTTATAATGAGAAGCAATAAAGTCACCTACATTGTGCAGCTAACGCCAGGTTTCAACTCAGTGGCTGTTCCCTACCCCAGGCTGCCTTCATACCATATGCTACACATACCAAAAATACAGACATAATGTGAAAGTAAACAAACTGAACTGCTGCCATTAAAGCCATTTATTATTATTATTATTTATACTTTCAATTTCGCGTTACTGGCTAAATAGAAGCGAATTCACAGTGGACTCCCTTGTGAGGCTCTTTTGTAAGCCATGTGAGTGTTCATTCCAGGAGAGGTTTTGTAACATTTATTTGTTGTTACAGACAGAGCTTTCCATAACAGTAAGGCATAACAAGTTCTCAGAAACAATCTGTGTTTGTTACAAGTCACCTTAGCTTGCATTATCCAAGAAAGAAGCAGGAGAGAAAAAAAAAATCACCGCTGGAACAACACCAAGGCCTATTTTACTATTACATTATAAGCAAGTAAAAACAATCATAAAATAAAACTTAAAGCAGCTGAGTTAAAAAAAAAAAAAGAAACTTTTAAAATGGCAAAAGGCAACGATGGAATTCACACGGGGCTATGGCTGAAATACATTCACACTCTTCTGAAGTATTGACCTTACGCGTCCGACTGATGCACTCATTATGTAAACACCTACCCTGAGAGTAAACTTAAAGTGCTCAGGCTTAGCAAATGAGTTCAGACTCCGTACCTGAATGAGCCTGAAAGCCTTTATCTGGAGACAGAGCAGCCAGCGCTCTGAAAATATGAACTTAAACTTTGTGGTAAGCCTGAAGCTCCGGTGTTGCCTCTCTCAGCCAGAGGACCGGTGCCCATGACTCGCATTGTGCTGGCAGTGGTTGCCAGAAGAGCTCCCTGAGCCAATGACAGACTGACTGAAGCAGCACTGAAGTCATAGGGACTCCCACACAGCGCATTCCCTCGTCACCAAATTAAGCACGTGTTCCATCTTGCTACATTCCACACTTAGGCACAGTGAGAAGTTTCATCAGTTTTTTTCATTATCTAAAGAAAATCAGTATGAATTAAAAGCCATTGTGAGGGCTGTGCTCAAGTGCATTTTTTATTTCACAGTGTATCCCAAGCTTCTGTGATGATCCAGCACACTCCTCTGTTCAGCTGTCACTATTCTGCATGTCTTGGTATCGGGCAAATCATCATTCCATTAAAGAAAAGCACGGTCTCCCAATACAGCACACCACAGCAGCAGCTAACTGAGCTCCAGTGAATTTAAGAGCAATTCTTGCTGAAGGTAACGTTTTAACGAGAGTTATTTCAAACGCTTCTACTTTTTAAGAGCCAGACATAAAACATCTGCTATACAGCATTAAGCACTTAAATATTTTCAGACAAAAATACATCCTTGCCATAGTTCCTGAGTAACTCTCAGAGGCAAGGAACCCTCCCTCCACAGAAGCACCAAGTGCAGCGATCACTCTGCCTCACCTTCAGGTCAGCGCAACACACATCTTGCAGAGGTTTATCATTATTCCAAGCCACATTAATAAAACCAACTCCTGCCATGACCACGTACAGAGCAAGAGCACTGCTCCACAGTAAATTTATTTCACAGCCAAAGCATTCCAAATCCACTCTACCAAACTGAACTTTGCAGAAGCTTCAACACCAGAGAAGTTCCAGCACATCCCCAATCCTGCCGAGATCTATTTACATACTTGTGAGATAAGCACATCAAAATACTTCTGAGAGGTAAAAGCCCCTTAAAGTCAGGCGTCTGCTCACAGGGCTGGGAGCTGGAAGCAGGAGCCTCAGCAGCACGCTCACAGCTGCTCTGCCCCACGTGCACACAGCACGCTCATCTCTGGGGCTCACAGGGGTCACAGCTTCACGAACACGTCTGGAAGGCAGCGACTCAGTGCCACAGTAATGGAAGCACTGCCTCTACAGTGAGATGAATCACATTCGTCCTCCGAGTTACAACTTAATGTCACCGTGAACTGAATTATGCTATTAACCAAGACTACTAAAAGTTATCTCCTTAATAAAGAGGAATCAGAGAATCGCGTGAGTTGGAAGGGACTCCTAAAGGCCATCTGGTCCAACTCTCCTGCAGTGAACAGGGACACGTACACTGGATCAGATGCTCAGAGCCCATCCTGTCTGACCTTGGGATCTCCAGGCATGGGGCGTCTACCACCTCTCTGGGCAACCTGTGCCAGTGCCTCACCGCCCTTCTTGTAAAAACTTTCTTTCTTATATCCAGTCAAAGGACACTAAATATTTTAAAAGTGTTCATAAAACCAGCAAGCAAACACGTGGCAGCCCCAAGGAACACCGTGAGCTCCTCACCCTCCACATAAAACAGCGAGTTCGCTTCTTTCTTGCTAAAGCTGCGTAGTTTAACTCACTCAAGTAGGAACATCTTACCACCAACATGAGTGCTCAGAATGGAACGAGTCTCATTTGGGGTTTTCTGAAACTCCTTGGCAAGACCAAGGTTAGGGTTATAAGAACAGGAGTTCTGAGACGGACATCTTCCTCGTATAAACAGGACAGAACGAGCAAATCGTAACACGCACCTATATGGACTTCCAACTAAAAAGTAGATCTAGCAGATCTAGGAAAGCTAGAGCGGCGATGCAAGCAGCCAACGGTCAGCGCTCCCAATGACAGCATTAATAACCGCAGCCGTTTTCAGAAAGGTGGGTGGCCCAATAAAAGAGGCCCCGGGGTGCCGCTCTGCCCTCCTCGGCCGCGCCGCCGACTTTCCCCAGCCGGCCGGGAAAGCTCCGCAGCGAGGCGCAGCGCCCAGCCGGAGCCCCGCACGTGCGGCGCGCAGCCCCGCGGAGCCCAGCGCCCGCTCGCCGCCCACGGCCCGCAGACGGAGCCCGGCTGTGCGGGGGGGGCCTCGCCGTTCCCCCACCCCCTCCGCAGCCTCGGATTCCGCCCGTGAGCGACACCCGACACCAGCGCCTCCAAACCCCGCAGAAATCCGGGACCGCGGAAGCGCGGCGCGGGGAAGGGGGGGGCAGGGGGGGGGACGCGCGCACGACTTTTGTCTCTCTTTTGCAACCGGACGCGGCCACCGAGAGCCCCCCCTCCGCAGCACGGTCCCCGGGGGGAGCAGCCCCGCGAGGAGGGGACGGGAGGCCTCTGCGTGCGGCGGGGCCCCCCGCGCCCCGGGCCGGGAGGAGCCGGGCTACGGGGGCACGCGACGCGCCGCCTCCCCGCCCTCCCGCAGCCGCCCCCGGGGAGCCCCGCTCTGCCCGTCCCGTCCATGTGCGCGTCTCTCCCCGGCGGAGTTCTGGGGAAGTTTCTCCAAACTCCGCCAACAAAAGGGGCAGAAGCTCTCTCCGCCGCCGCCGCTCCCCCCACCCCCCCCCGTTCCGTTCCCTTCCCGCGGCACTCACCCCCGGCCGAGCCCGGCTCGCAGCGCAGCACCGAGGCGGCCAGGAGCCGCAGCAGCAGCAGGAGCGGCGGCGCCGCCTCCATGTTGTGCCGCAGCAGCAGCTGCCGGAGCGGAGCCCGCCGAGCGTCTCAGGCAGGTTCCATGCTCGGGGCGCTGCGCTCGGCGGGGAGGGAGGCGGGAAGGGGGAGGCGCCGCGCCCGGCCCTCCTCCTCCTCCTCCGCCTGCCCCCACCGCTCCTGCCTCCCTGAAGGGGGCTGGGATTCTCCCGCTCGCGCCGCGGCCCGGGGAGGAGCCGTGCGCCCGCACAGGCCCGCGCCGTGCACCTGGCGGGGAGCGGCGGCTCGGCTCGGGGCTCCTCGGGCTTTCTGGAGACGTTCGTTTGTTGGCTTTTAGCGTTTGGGTTTTCTTCCTTCTGTTCCTGGAGCAGCCAGCCAGGGCGCGAGGGGGACACGAGAAGGGGCAAAGCGCTCACTGTCTGTTTACAAACTACTTGTGCATCTGCTCTGCGTGTGCCCATACCTGCTGTTTCATCCACGAAGAAGGGCAGCTGTTTTCTTCCGAGGTGGGGGTTTTCCTTCACCTCCCTCTTCCCAGCGACACGAGTGCTTTCTCACAACACTCTGTGTCTCCATCGCAAAGAAAGTCACTTTTTGGCAGCAGTTCGTTTGCTTTTTCCCCATCAAACATGCTGCCTGTTGATATAAATACATTACCAGTGAGAAATGGGCAGAAGCTGCTCTGTAACACGAGGCCTTAGATGCCACACCAGGAGCTGAACTGTGCTGCTGCCCCCCAGACATCCCAGACACCCAGCTACCACAAACGCCTCAGCAGCAGGGATAGAGTCAAGGATTTCCCTTGGAGCCTCCATTTTCCCTTGTGCCAACACCAAATTTACCATAGGAAATAAAGTTGCTACAGTCTGTACACAGGTGGAATCGACAAGGCATTCCCTTGTAAATCACAATCAAGCTGTAAATCACATGCAAGCACTTAGCCAATAGGTGTTTAAAAGTTGCTTTCTTTTCAGAGGTTCCCCAGACAGTGGCCATGTCCTAATAGATCTGCCTCGCTGCGGGTTCTGCAGCCATGGCTTTCTTCTTGGAGCCCCATGGACCCCTGCCCATCTCAAGAAGTGGAGCCAAAAGCTCAGGAATTCTTTTGGGACCTGATGGTTACCAGGTGCAGCTTCCCTTAGATTTCCTCCTTTCCCAAGAAGCGTTTAATGTTGGGATAGTGTTCAGGAGTTACAGAAGGTTTATAGTGCTGACCTTCATGCCAACCCACAAAGGAAAATAAAGCTGCTCTACCTTGCTGCTTATTAAATACATAAAGAATGCTAATTTTAAAGAGGGCTGATTCCAGGTGACATTTTAAATCTGGAGAAATCTCAGTGTTCTTCAAGATGGAAAAGACAGCAGCTGATCTTCCTTGATAGAAGTTCCGCAATAAACCAGAGCCCATATCAGAGCCACTGTGAAATACTAACAGCAAAACTTTGTATGAAGAGATAAAGATGATGCTGACTGAGAGATTTCAACAGAGACCAGCATTTTTCAAAGGAAAGTACCTGCTGTAAGGAGAGTTATTGAGATTGAGAAGATCTGCTGATGACTGCTCAGAGCCCCACACCAACCTTTGCTGTGATGGAGGACTATTCAAAGGCGTAGCCCACAGAGCTTCATAGCATGTGAAAGTTCAGTCTTTGCAGTAGCACAGAGCTTGAATGAAAATTTATTTTCAGAGTGTGATGTTCTTGCTTGGCAATCCCCTTCCTCCTCCAATTAACAGATAGGGGGCAGTCTCCAAGCTGAAACAAAGGAAAGGGAGACAGGCTATGCAGGTGGGCAGCTAGGAAAGACAGACTTAACAGATTTTATATTTATCAGATATTAAGTTTATGCTTCTTTGTGACTTTAATAGCAACACCTTTGCTAAAGGGACATTTCATCACAATCTGGAGTGACAGCAAATCTAGTAGCAGCCAAGAGCTCAGTATTCCACCAATCACAAAGATGCAGCATTAACCTATTCATATGTTGCAGGGGTATTTGGAGAAAATAAAATTTGGGCAGCTGTGAAAAGAAGCCTGACATCCATGCTGAGGAAGCTGTCTCCCACCTTTGTGCCAGCCCTGCAAGAATTCCTCCAGCAAAGCCAGGGAAAGCAAAGCTGTGACATTCCTGAAATGTCTGACATACGTTTCTAAGGAAGTAAAAAACAGGTTAAAAATAATCTTAGCAGGCCTCATTTTTTCCCCCTTTTTCTTATTTGAAGAAAGAGGGACTCCTTTCTGAGAAGCACAGAGGACTCCCAAGCACAGAGCCAGTGCCCCATATCTAACTTTTCTTATGTAAACCTGAGCAAGTCACAGTGTAGCACTTCCTCAGTTTCCCCTACATAAAAGGGGCAGAGAGAATAATTTTCCTTTCGTCCTTTCTGCGTAACATAGAGAAAGCTGCAGCAAGTCTGGGACCTGGCTGTGCAAAGAAGGAAGGGGAGAAATGTAGACTGCAAGCCCAGCACTCCCCCCGGAGCTGCAGGCAGGCCAGCTCTTGTTTTCTGCCATTGTTGTCGTCCCTGACAGAGAAAGGAGGGAAGTGCAGAGGCTTAGAAGGGAAAACAAAGAGCCCAGCTGTATCTGAGCTCCCAGGGATGTCCTCCAGGATAACCTTGCCATCCCACCACAGCTGGAAAACTTGGCTCAACTGAAATGCTCTAAATGTTTTCTACATATTTACTCCTTCTGGATTTCTCTCTCCTACTCCAGTTTACAGCGTTCTCCTCTCCCAGCTGCCAGAACCGTCTGAGCTCCTGTAGAGCTAAACACTTAATGACAACTGCAGAAGCCCCTAAAGTGAATTTACTGCCTTATAAATGACACACAGGTTTATTTTATGGCAAATATCAGTACCTAGACATGCATCTTTATTCCTATTGGGCAGCACTGTTTACTGAAGACAAAGTCAGTAGATCCAAACAGGCTGAGGAGGTTCTGTGATGATTTGCAAAGGGGATGTAAAGAGAACTGTAAAAAAAAAAAAAAAAAAAAAAAAAAGACAGCAACAAAACAGTTTTCTCCTCTAAGGCCATAGGAGGGTCACTTTCCTGTTCCAGCATCTGAGATATAGGTCTTCATACTTCCTCACCCAGCTTTCAGATAGAAAGCAGCCTCAAGCTAAACATATAGAGGGATTTTTAGTCCTTCTCATCATTTATCACAGATGAAAACGTGTATAGATAGTCTACAGTAAGTTAGAAATGATTGAGGAAAATACTGTCTGGATGAAGGTTCCCTCATCTCCTCAAAAAAAATAGACATGAGGAGGAAAACATATACATACAACAGCCATAGTTAAGAACACACCTCCCAGGAAGACATCTAAAGAAACTTTAGCAAGGGGTGGGTGAGGTCATGGACTCATCAGAACATGCTTCAGAAAGCTTGGGCCATCCGCCAGACTCTATAGGCAGCACTCAGTGGCTTCTTCAACACCAATTGCTCATATTCAGCCTCTTGATAATGGTAGCATTTCCCTCTTTTATCCACCTTGCTGGTTCAGACTGCTGCTCCCTATGAAAGTAAGCACAGCACAATCGAGGCCTGAGGTTATGGAAGACTTCCTGGCACTGCTTCGGAAAAAGGATTCTTAGGTGTTAAACAACACAATGTTCAGAACTGATTGGTGGCAGTGCAGTTATTTAAGCTGTCTGATACAGTAGGGGAATGTTACCCGTCATCTCCTACTCTGTTGGTCAGGAACGGATGATGACTAAATAGCAAGAAAGCTATTCTTTTGGAGCCTAGTCAGGCAAGCAAAAGAGCACATCTCCATTGTAGATATAACTATAGAGAATCATGCATGTACAATCTGGAGTACTCTCCCTTCATAGGTAAGCTACAGCTTCATACCTGGAATTACAGCCCTTGCATTTCTAGTGCAGCCATTTCCAGCACCATGACCCCAGTGAGGTTATGGCAGCTACAGACTGGCAAATCTAGGGACACCATGAATCAAGAGATCAGAGTACTATGGGACAGAGCCTTCTCAGAGAAGTGAGCTAAAGGAGATGTCCTCTTGCAAACCTGTCAGCCACATCTCATACTTTTTATATATATATATATATTTATATATTTATAAATATATATATATATATATTTAAAGTGTCCTATTAATTGAAATAACACTTAAGGGTATTCTGTGTTAGTGAGACGGTGAGGATAAAGAGCCCGTTCCCAAAGCCTCCTGAAAGCTAGCAGCCTCAGGAACAGAGGGGCTGGCACTGCCTGAGGAGGAGGAACATGTCACCATAAAAAGTCCTGAAAACATAAAAATAGTTCAGTGGGTTTTTTGGTGGTGATTCTTGGACTCCAAATGCTTTTCTGGTCGTAACTACACTCCCTGTTGCAGCTACCAGAGCAGCAGTCATCGCGTTTCTCTGTGCTGCACGAGCAAGTGTTTAAGCCTCCATTCCAGCTACCTTTTTGGAGCTGCTTATAAAATTAACCATTTCTGGTTTTGGAGCCACACTTTCTGTCTAGTCCTTAGTCAACAAAATTCTGTTCCAAAGAAGGGAAAAATTACCCCTTTGGCAGCAAATAAGGGAACTATGAAAGGAGAGTGACCATCTGAACACAAAGTGCATCGCAGTTCTCTTTGTCCTATGTTCTTTATGAAGAGCCATCTTTTATTACAGGCAACTTCAATATTGCAGTGGAAATCCAAAGTGTCAGCAAAAGTTAAAGGAGTCAGCACAAAGACAAGTATTCAAGGAGTGCTGTAACAATCCCCAAGTAAAACACATAAAAAGAAATTCAAATGAAAAATCAACTGTAATATGTTCTGCTTGCTCCAGACTGCAAGGTTAACTCCAGCCTGTGCTGTGTCTGAGCAACAAACCAAATAGGTCAGTTTGTGCAGCTATGCATCTCCCTTTCTGCAGTGCTTGCAGTGACCTAAAACTTTATATTTGCATACTCTTTGCCACGAGGTATCACCTAAGGCCTTACAACAATAGGCAGTGGCAGGTTTCTTCAGCCTCACTCCAGTGCTGTCCATCATATGGGAATCACTTAAGCAGTACCTTAGCTTTAGTCATAATGTAGGATAAAGCACACCCCAAAATTCCTTCTCCAAATGTAACAGAGTTGGTCTCATTATGAGGATGCAAGAACAGATGCTGAATGCATCACAGAGAAGTGCTGTGGTTTAGTCCAGCACCTTTATGTGCCTTTGTGCTGCTCCAAGCATCCTTGCACAGCACAGGTGTCCCGTACCAAGTAGAGTGAGAAAATAGCTTCAGAATCCTTCAAAAGAACCAAGTAACTCATTTAGTAATTTTTGGAAGAAAAGCATTATGCACTCAGTGGTATATACAAGTGATCACTCCCTACTTTCCATCTGCCCACCCATGCTAACTGGCTTTTCACCACAGCATTCAATTCATTGCAAACTGACGTTCACATACTTGCCTTCTTTCCTCTGTGTACCACAGGTTTGATACTGATGGCAAAATTCCAGTCAGTGGTTGCAAATAGAATCTCTACACAGTCATACTTGAGCTGCTGAGGAGCCCACATTACTGGGAGTGCAGGAGGTAAATCTGGAATCCATCTGTCTTCAGAGACACAGAATTTATTCACATAACAGCCAGGTCCTGCCTCACCTTATCCTCAAATCAATCATGGTTAATAGTCAACATCTAAAATAATACTATTAAAATAATAAAATAGAATAAAAATAATAAAGTAATACTATAAAAATAACCTGCTACAGTCTGTGCAACCATGGAATCTGGGTGGCCATGGAGCCTGCAACCTTTGTAGTGTGATCATCCTTTCAGAGCAAATTGGGTGTACAGAGAAAATATTGCAAAACATTGTGGTCTGTTAACACATGCCTGTTACATTTATTCATATCTTAACAGACAAAGCTCACCTCCACCACTAAAAGCATCAAGTCACGAGCTGTAAGACTAGAAGACTTAGAAATTGTAGAAATAGTATCAGAATGAGTATGGGCTGACGTTTAGACTAGATGGAAAAGCCCACTAAGATCAACCTTTATGATTCCATGATTCAGAACAAACTGATGGTAAGATGCTACCCTTAACTATGCTACAGATGAGGTCACAGATAAAGGCTGTTCCTTTGACATTCGCAGCATGAAAAAGTTTCTTTAACTTTTGAAAGGTACTTAAGATGGCCTGTTTTAAGCAGACATGAAGCCATACTCAACTAGTTACTGCCTGACTAATTTTTGTGGGCGATTCAGATGCCAGGCAAGACTTGCTCTGTCCTGGCAAGATAGAAATCTTTTTTGTACGCAATGGGAAAGGCCCCACGATACAGCTCAGAGCCATGACTATTTAGATATTAAAACGGTGGTAAAATGGTGGATGTTGAAACTGATCCTGAAAACAATCTGTTACGTGAAGTCTACCTGCTGACTGCTTGCTGACAGCACTTGGAGTGGTTCTTGATGGGATAATGATAAGTGCTCCTGGCAGCTGCCAAGGAAAGTATGTGGAAGGTAAGGGAGGAAAAAAAAAAAAAGGTGACATAAGGGAAAATTTGCAGACAGGAGTAAATGGGAAAGGAGCAGTGATAAAGTTTTCTACAAGATTTACACTGGCGTAGATACATGCAAGTTCACTGCATTTAGCATTTTCTTGAACGTGATCTGCTCAGCACTTTGTAAAATATAAGAACCTATAATATGCCTATAGGGAATTTCCTATCTGGCAAGCGAGATGACTGGAACTGTACAAAAAAATGAAGCTATTTCCACAGCAGTACAACAGTGTGAGATGTGCCTGAAGGTCCGCAATGGAGAATAATTTCCCGTAGATGGCAGCATTGGTGAGCATCATCAGCTAAACCACAGCTTCGGGTAGTCGAGCTCGCACCCACGGTTTTATAGGAACTTTTTGTAGCATCTGAGGGAAGCAAGGTTTTTTCAATCATTAATGATTCTGGACTCTTTACGGCTCTTCTTCACATATCTCTCTCTGATAGTGAGTGCTCATCTTTGAAAGGGAAAAGGGAGGGCTCAGAAACATGACTTGCTTAGTTTAATTCCAAGAGAAAACAAAACTAAAATACCATTTGGAAGCATCTATCAGGAAAATATAGGTTGGATGAAAACACTACAGAGTAGCTGTGATATTCATTGGAAAATTGCATCAGTAGCTGCAGTAGTCATCAGGATTGGCTGCTCTATAGGAAAGAGGAAAAGTGAAAACATATTCATTTCTGTAAAGAGAAAAGATCTACCCTCTGTGTCCTTGGTTAACAGGTCAGGAAGCTCAAACCACAGCAAGGGAGGATCTGAAGAAAGGAAAAACATAACAGTAATACAAATAGTTGGAATAGATGCGAGAGAAAGGAACCAGTCCTAGCAGAGATTTCAGCAATCCAGCAAGACAAACACCTCTAAAATTTATTGCACACTGCCCATTCTGTCCTGAAGCTGGGGCACAGTGCATCTGACCTCCTGATGCCCTGAAGACCTTCTCCCTTACTTACTCTGATTTTAATATTTTCCTACAAAGCCATTATATTAGGTTATCAACTAAATACTCACTAAGGAAAAAAAAAAAAAAAGGAAAGACATAGATAGGGCTGTAAGTGATGGAAAAAAAAACAAAACAAAAAACCACCAGATGTTGATATGCTGGCTGCCATGAGATCAATCACCTAGACCAGGCAGTACTTCTTGGCATTTTAACAGTCACTGTGCATAAATCCACTCCACACAGGTGAAGCCACCACAAGATCTGTAAAGGCTCTGCAACTCTCCAAAAGTCTGGTGTTACCCTTTGGGTTTGCAGGGTGACAAGATGCCCATCCAGCCACTGCACATATTTTCCCCATGCCCTCAAGCTTCCTGTCTCCAAGCCCTACAAACTGTCAGTATGCAAGGCCTTCTCTCCCTTCCACTCAGCAGGACAGACTCCAATGCTGTCCTGGAATAACACTGTTTTCAAGTGCACAAGATCACCAGATAACACCTACAACCAGGTCCATCAGTTTATTAGTGAGGCAGGCAAAAGCTTCCACAGAATAAAAATCACTATTAATCATTCACTTCCCTTAAGTGCTATAAGACTTCTAAAATGTATTGCCGGCTCATATGAATGGGCCCAGTTCAAAAACAGTTGATGTTGCTTTGGTCTACACATTCTATGACATGAGAAGCCACACAGACATCTATTATTATTGTGAAGAAACACTATAAACTCTGAAACAATCCAAAACCAAATGAAAAATAAAGGGAAAACACAACAGGAATAAAGGATCCTTAGCAACTGGGCAATAAAAAGGTCATAGTGGAAAGTATAAGATGGCTACTTAACAGATAAAGTGAAGCTCCTTGTTTTTGAGACTAAAAGATCAACCTCAAGAAGTAAAGCCACGGAAAAAAAGAAAAAAAAATGTCTATAAAGGGGCAGCAGCTCTGTGTCTGAGACAATTAGTAGGCGTAGGCTGCAACAGATTATTAAGCAGCTTGGTTTGAGGAAAACCAAATGTTTTATTTCAAGCCTCCAAAAACACTAGGCTGAAATATGACCATTGGTCTACTTGGTATAATATATCAGAACTCATCCTTCTCAAACTAAAACATCTATTAT